TTCTCTAAGCAATCTAACTCTTCTTCGACCTTCAGCGCAACTGCATATTGGATTGGATGAGCTTTGAAGAACTGGGAATTAAATTCTGATTAAAAAATTTAACAGTTGTACCGGGACAGTGTGTAATATAATCACCTCGAAAAAGTTAGTTATGGTCCACTAACAAGGCTTTCTGAGCGGGATTAACTCCAACTCGATGAACCTAGGCAAACACCGAAGGCACACGTTTCATCCAGTTCTGTCCGAGGAAATGTGGTTGGTGGCTTCTCCTGAAAATATGAACCGGCAATTAATGAAGTATGCCGTCATGCTCAACTTTGGCCGTAAAGACCCCTCGAACATCTACTTAATGTCCAGTTTTATTACAAAAAGTGGACGAAGTCGGATGGAAATGGGAATTTTCTGAGGAGAGGCCTCGTTAATGAGGGTAAACAATGCAGATTTCAAAACTCATGGTATGGAGATCACCCTGAAGCGTGGTGGTGTAGAATGATTGGAGCAGCTTGTCTGTTGGAGAAAGTTGGTATATCATCTTACCATCCCACACTGGATTAAGGTAGGTAGTATGCATGTTAATGTTCGTCCGTTTTTGGGAAAGATACACGGGTTAAATGTGACCTTTTGCCTTGCAAAATAATTTGGTGGGCCATCAAAGGAATATTAATCCATGGAAAAAGGGCGCTTCAGTACAATATGGCAGATATTAACCTGCACTTGCACTTTTGAGACTTAAATGAAATTTTCTTGTGTCAGCGGAGTAAGGCGTAACATAAATACAAACCATTAATTGAAAATCTATTGATTTGGCGACATGATTATTATGATTACACACAATGTTGCGCCTTTTCCAAGCGCTACAACAATTCACGAAAGTGTACGCTAAAATAGCGGCTCTGGAACCAGAGGAAAGCGTGTTCAACGGTAGTGTAATGAAGAATCACGACTACAGGGTATCCAAAAAATGTATGCATATTTTAAATAATTGTAAAAGTGGTGTACCTTATAAATCAATATTTCAAAAACGTAAAAATAGTTATAAGTATAATTTTATTCTTTTTTTTTGACCGAATTTTGACTATTGCAACAATGGCTGAATTGAGAGAAGCCACTGAACATGAAGGCACATGTATATCAAGGGAATTGTTTGATGGTATGTGCGATTCCATTGCTTCGCGTTGTCAGCAGAGTCATTATCAAACTGGACGTCAGTTTGAGAAAATTTAGTGGAAAAAACAATTAATTGATACCTGTGAATATCTTTACATTTATTGACTAATAAATTGTAATAAACACCAATTTAATAATTAGGTAAAATATGTATACATTTTGGGACACCCTATATATAACGGCAACAACGTATTACAAGGGCAGCAGCGCGTGTATTTTAGTCGAAAGTTTCTTTAAAGATGATTTGTACGAATGCTTAAACAGGATATGAGAAAAGGAACCACCAGCAATACATTTATCTCTGTGCCCAATTCCGGGAACAGTGGGGTTTAACAATAATGTTATGATGTGTTTAACTTCAGGCTTAGGTTTAAGGTTAAGGTGCGGGCCCAAATTACGTTTGTTTTATGTAACGCTTAGGTTAAGAACTAAGACACGGGAATATGTATCCTCTCTGATATTTACAGCAAAGCCCCATATTAAAAGCGGGTGGGAGGTTCCTGTTCCCGTGTCCTGTTAACGTGGCCGAATAGGTCATCCTAACTAAAGTATCACATGACGCTATCGCTTTTTGATACATCCCTTGAAGGGTTGTCCGTAAATCTTACCGTGAAGCAGTTTTTCCCTAAAGAGGGTCTCATCGAATTCTGCCCCACTTTAATCGTAGGAGTTTTCTCACTATTTCTTCCTTAGTTCAGGATTATTTTCAAAAGATAGTTAACGAGTGTTCTGAAAAAATAAATCTCCAGGGATGGGAACTACTCTGCCTACCATGTTGCCACTCTTTGCTGTATACCTTGCAGCTCACTTTGCCTACTGGGCGCATAAATGTAAAATTTATTTATTTATATTTGTGCATGTGAATATATTAGTGCATGTCATACTATTTCCTATAGACCGATATGAGAATTCACGGTTCATGTATTTATTTGGGATAGAAAAATGTATTTTGGTATAAGGTATCGATAATATGCTACCGATCTCACAAACCGAATTACTGCATTCGCAGCAAGTGACCGTAAGGGTGTCCAAAATGCCGAAGGGTACGCGATAGGATGGTACGCTTATTTTTAACATATTCGTTCGCCTCAGCCTTCGAAATAGCTGAGTCCAGGGACTTTGAATGATCAAAGATATTTAAGTGAAAACTTTTCATGAAATCGATATTGACTGCCTCGCCTAACTCCTGGGATAGCGAGTACAATTTTATCGTGCTAATATGCTGCAAGAATATGATAACATGCATGTTACAGGGGGCATACAGAAAGCACACAATAAAAAATTCCACACGAATGCACACCGTAGTACTTAGTGCCGGCGATAATTTTGACAAGCTGGTTAAAAGCCACAGCTAGGGACGCCTCAAAGTGACTCACCCACACTCATGATGCATATTCAGACTACAAAAACTAAAATACATTTGTCAAGATTCATTGAATTAAAAATGTAGATTTAATTTGAAAGCATAGCATTTAATATTTACCTTCCAAAGTATTTGGTTCTGTACACATTCACTGGAAGCAGGGTCGTTTGTTTATTCACGCAAAATGGGATAGTTTTATAGCTTCAAATAAGGGAAACGGGTGGTATTCTAGTTGCGAATTGTTCTTTACCTCATTTATCTGCCTTTTATAATTTCCCAGGAATTCCATTTAACCTGGAACGTTTGTATCAGCTTGACCCTACTGCATCACCTCCAAAGTATTTTAATACAAACATTTTCTCCGATATTATAATTTTTCTGCCTTTCAATCTCAGTCCTCTCGCATGAGCTTCACGTGCACTTCAAGTACCTTTTCATTTTATGTTTATTATGTTCCTAAAAATCAATTTGCATTCGATTAAATAATTAATCTCACAACCGGAAGCTTAGCCGTGTCCATAGTGTCTTGCATTACTGTTAAAATAGTCAAGCAGTAGTCGTCATAGCCCCCCC